AGCAGGCCCGGGGCTGGATACGGGGTATGGGCCAAACACAGGCCGAAGGCAGTTGGGCACAAGCAACCACCTCAGGCCCTAGGCCTGATCTGTTTTGGGCTGGGCCTCAGCCTACCGGGGCCTACCGGAAGCTTCTTGGGAAAGGCCCAGCGCAGCCTGGGACAGAACGCAGGCAGGCCACTTCCATATAGCAAAGGGCCTGCCTCCGCATTTGGCATTCAGGTGCTGGCTGCATGCTGCGCAAGCGCTGCTGCGCTAAAGCTGGCTGGCACTCACGCACTCAAGGGCGAGCAGGAAGGAGAAGGCAGCCATAACCGAGCTGCGCTGCTGTGAGCTGGGTCAGGCGCAGGGTGGTCCTTGGGTGCACGTGGCATCTGTGTGTTGGGGAACGAGGTTGTGAGTGAGGCGAGAGACATACCTGGTGCTGGAAGCGTGCGACATTGGTCGCTGTATGCTCGTACTTCGGGAAAGCTGGTGACGTCATCTTCGGCATTGTAGTCTAGGCTAGATAGGATCTGCCATCTGTAGTCTGGGCGCCGAGCGACAGATAGGATATCAACATTGGTTCTTCGTTGATGATGATGATGAGACAATTTCAGCATTGTCAATTATGAGCTCTTGGTGTGTTCTTATTTGGTGAAACTCGTGATGCAATTCTGCTGTTGGTTCGAGGTCACGACTATCTGGTCTTATGTGTATGATGCTGTTTGATTGCTGAAGTTCGCTATTGCTCATCTTCCTTGCAGAAAGCTGAAAGGGAAGCAGCCTGTTATATAAGGACTTCTCAGAGGACTATCGAAGAAAAGGAGGGAATGTGAGGATCTGGGTCCTCGGCAGGCCTAAGGGGCCCCTGCTACAAATGTGCCCGCCCTAAGTGAAGGCGGGCCTAACAAATCACGAGAGGCCCTTGGCTGTCAATTTCGTATTTGGGGTCCAGGCAGTTTCGTCACGCCAGTTGGTTGAAGGAAAACAAAGGCCGAGCAGTGTGGAAAATCCCAGGCCTTCTAGGCCTTTCCGAAAGCACAGGCCCTGGGCGAGATTTGTAGCCTCATACACAGACAGTTGGGAGGCCCAACCGAATGAGGCCCAATAGCTGCACCAGAGGCACAGCACCTTTGGGCCTACCGGAAGCTTCTGGGCCCAGGCTCAGGGCAGCCAGGCTGCAAAGCCAGGCCAGCTCTTTTCCATATAGGAAAGAGCTCGCTGGCTGGCAGCTCATTCGGGCACTCGCATGCTGGCGGCAGCGCTGCTGGAGCTGAAGCTCGTGGGCTGCTGCTAGCGCTGAGCGGCGAGGTGCCAGCACATGTGGTCGTGCAGAGAGCAGGGCGCTGCTGAGGGCAGCGGCATAGCCCAGCATTCATAGCTGGCGGGCTTGGATGTACAGTGAGGCGCAGGGGTGGTCTTCGGGTGTGCAAAGGGGACGACGTGGGGAAGAGATAAGGGAGAGAGAGAGAGAAGGATGATGATGATGATGATGATGTGAGGGCTCATACCTGGTATTGGCGATGGTCTGCATGAGCGACATCTTCAAGTACTTCGGAAGCTGCTGACGTCAACAGTTGCATTGTCAATTAGTAGGCTATTAGTAGCTGTGTAGGGAATAGGCTGGGCGCCAAGCGCCAAGTAGGGAGATAGAGAATGGATACATATGTTGGTGGTGGTGAGAGCAAGCTCTCATTGACATTGACTTTCAGTATTACGATTCTCCATTGGTGTTATATTGGTGCAATGCTGCTTTCTGAACGCTGTGATACGATTTGGCTTTCAATGTGATTGTGCAATCTGAATATTGTCATCTCGCTTCTGTTCATTTTCCTTGCAATCGCATGTGTTAGTATAAATTTCCATCCTCTCTTTGCATGTCTAACCAAATTCTTAAACTTCCCTTTCTTAAAATTCAGTATCTCCAATTAGTAATTCCTAACCTTTGATGCCTAAGTCGAATTCCTAATTAGAATTCCTGAATTCCCAAAGGTCTGTAATCCTAAGGATGTATTTCTTAAACACGCAACTTTTCTTACTTTACAGTCTTTACCTTTGTGATCACGAAAATTTTAAACTCCTAATTTCTTAAAACCTCTTCTTGAACTTTCGTAGTACCTTTCGTCATGATTGGTAATTACATCAAACTCTTTTGCATTTTCCGTTCACGTTCTGGGGTGCTCTCTTAAGCTTCTGGAGGGTATGTGTCCCTTGGCACTTTCAGTAGCCTGTAGTCGACCAAGGCCAGAATTGAGCTGGTCAGTGCTGAGGGGGGGCAACCTCCTGTAACTCGTAGCAGACGAGGTTGAGGCCTGGTAGAGAGATCTGGGTACATGGCTTGCTGATATGCATATTAGCTGCAACTTTCAGTGGTGGATAGCGGACTGAGAACGACGCTGGCCACTGTTGGGGGGGGTGCCCCCCCGTGTAACCCATAGCTTAGACGGGAGCTTGAGGCCTGGTAGAGAGGCATAGGGCAGTGCCAGTGCGATATGTGCCATCTGTAGTGTTTGATATGAAGCTCTCAGGAAGATGGACTTTTTCATTGGATCAAAGTTTCCATACATTACGCTTACTTGTGGTTCTGATATTCTTGGCCGAAGCCGGGTAATGGCCCCAGCATTTCAAATTTTGCTGTATATTTTTGTAAAGGACGCTGGGCCCAGTTCCCAGCACAGGTTGCTCCCCATGAATAGATCAGAGCACTGTCCTGTTAAAAAAGAAAGAAAGTGACAGCAGCGGGGTCCAAACCCAGCGCCTACTCAGTGTGGCTCAGGCATGAAGCGTACTGAGCTAGCCACCATCCAGGCAAACCATTTATGAGGTGAGGTCAGTACTGTGGCTAGTCCATGCACATTCCGTGGACTCCAGTTCCCTTTTGATTTTGGTTCTTGTCTCCGCTGCTTTCCATTGGCTTGCTGGACTCACCTTATATGCTGCGAAGTTCAGCTTTGGAATTTCTGCAGGATACCCACCAGAATCAAACCGGTAGCAGGTGTCTGGATACAAAACCTGCAGAAAGAATGAAGGCGGAAACAGTATTAGAATGACATGATATCAGTTCAAATGACACGATAGGCCTCTGGTCCTGTTTCGTTGGCCTTTGTATGACAACAAACATACAATGATATGAATTCATACAAATAAATTATAATTTATCGCGGTCGTCTCGCCTCCTTCCAGAAAGTATTGACTGAGTCTATTGGGTGGAACCTATAATTTCTTTTCCTACACTGGCTAAAAATTCTTGTCATTTTGGAAGCACGTATATGATATGGGCTAGATGCTCGGTGGTGGCTAATATCCACAGCAGAATGGCATGAAAATGCAAATCACTGTGTTTACAAAGGTGAACAGGATAGTCTAGTGGATTACATGCCTGAACTGATGCCAGCCATACAAGATGCGATTCTACAGCCCAGCAGTTGAAGGCCCACCACACACCAGTCTGGTGGTTGAGTAGTAAAACATATGTGAGTATTGATAAACAGATCAAGAGTTCAAATCCCAACAGGACTTTTTACAAAGCAAATGAAAAAAGAAAACAGGGAAGTTGGACACCCACCCTAAATTGCTGCAAGACTACCCAATTCCCCCCAAACACAAGGCCTCTGCATTATGACAGTATCTGGAACCGAACAGAGTTTTTACCATAGTTGCGGTGCACCACGGTGCACCGATTTGCGCACACGTTGCACACCGAGCGCAGCGCACCACACGGCACACCGTCGCGCCCCGCACACAAAAAAAGAGGGATGGTAGTATTTTATATATATTGTCACATAACTACGAACTAAAAGAGCGCACTTTGTGGAACAAAGAATAAAAGCAAAAAACGGGCACAGTGATAACATGCAAAAATAAAAAGAAAAAGAAAAAGAAAAAACAAGGGCAGATTGAAACCATCAAATTTCTCATTCTTCTTTGAACTCCACCTCCACTGTGCCTCTCACGTGCAAGGCTCGCCACGTTGATGAAGTTGAGCGCGAGCTGCGCCCATCCCCGTATGCCATAACAGCCCACTTGCACACTGTGAGAGAGGCAGAGTGAAGGGGAAGGTGTTAAACACAGGGAAAAGCTCAAGAATGAGGCTGTCCTTGACGACAGAAAGGACACACACTGTCT